TCTGAATTTGCAAATCCACTCTCTGGTTGCATGGAATGTCTTTCTTTCTCTTCTCCTGCTAAACTGGTGATCCGCTACCACATTAGTGTTACGTAATGAAAAGGGGGAAAAAACCAGATTATCCAACATAACCAGTTTTGAAAATGTAAGAAAAATAAAGACAGAAAAAATAGTCCAAATGGAAAAAGAAAAAGAAAAATCATGACTTCCAGACTGGGCTGAGCTCGCAGTTTCCTCCTCCTCCTTTTCTATCCGCCCGACTCTGACTTGTCAACATTTTTATTCAAAAAGCGTTGGTGACTTTTGCTGCTTCACTAGTCAATAAACAGGTGATATAAAACATTCTTTTGTTGTTGATTTTCCCTGCTGACTGTTTACACACCAATCTACGGGTGGAACACCCAGACTGACAAAATGTATAGTTTCTGCAGTGTCTGTGCGTGGAGTCCTTATGAAGTCAGCAGAAAGAGGCTTCTTTACCCTGCCTAGGAAGGGGGGAGACAATCAAATTGGTTTGCCTTTAAAAGTGAATCTATCCGATCCTCAATTTCCAAACCAATATGAGAACCAAAACAAAATGAAATTTTTCATTACGAAACCACATGAATGTTGCAATGCAGTTCTCCAATTAATGTTTACGAAACGTTTATATGTCACAGAAGAAACTGTGCATTCAACTGTGCATCCAGACTCTTTATATCCAAAAGAAACTTTACTTTCATAAACATATAACTGAGAAGAACATATGTACAACCTCATGCTTATTCACTTTGTTCCTTTCAGAGAACACGGGTTTCTCCCTGTTAACATATAGGGATCTTCCTCTGTCTGCTTCACCGCATACAGACCACACCAGGACACCCTGTCCTAGGCAGCATTCAGATAAACCCCTCCCTGCATCTTCTGCATCGTCAGGACCTTCTGCATGCAAAGCAGATGCCTGGCCCCTGAGTCCTTCCCACTCCTCATAGCTCTGGGCAGGTGATCCAAGGGCTGAGCATTAATTTTTAAAACACAAACAGATACTGGTCATGCACAGCACAGCTCCTGCTGTGGGGCAGAAGCAAGTGATGATACGTCAATGTTCTCAGGGGTATGGCACCCACAAAAGCATGGACCCATGAAGCAGCTATCCCCACCCCCACATACAATCAATCTACAGCCCCACCCTGAACCTGGACAGTAGAAGACAAGCATCTGGTATCAGGTTTTTGAAAGAAAAAAAGAAAGGGAGAGAGAGAGAGAGAGAGAGAGAGAGACAGACAGACAGACATATGTTAATATGCAGACTGTGCATAATAATACGCTGTGGTGTAAACCACTGAACCTTGGGCTTGCCAGTCAGAAGGTTGGTGGTTCGAATCCCCTTGACAGGGTGAGCTCCTGTTGTTTGGTCCCAGCTCCTGCCAACCTAGTAGTTTGAAAGCACGTCAAAGTGCAAGTAGATAAATAGGTACCTCTCTGGCAGGAAGTGAAACAGCATTTCCATGCGCTGCTCTGGTTTCGCCAGAAGCGGCTTAGTCATGCTGGCCACATGACCTGGAAAAACCATCTGCAGACACCACTGGTTTAAATTTTCACTTTGGGAATGGTGCTACAAACGTGGAAAAGGATCTTGCAGCATGTTTACGCAGACCTACTGGATTTAATAACCCTCCTAAGTGAAGGCGTGCCTATATCTGATTGAAGCTGCCCAAAGGTTAATATTCTGTATATTCAAGGCACATTAATTCCCTAAGCGCAAAGGACATGTACTGAAAATTAGAATTACACACACACACACACACACACACACACACACACACACGACACCACTACCAAGAGCTGCAGTTTATGGACAACTCTAGACTTGTCTGCTCAAAAGGAAGTCCCATTGTGTTGGGGACCTGGAAGGAAAGAAGCAAGAGCTCCCTCAGCTCAGGACCCAAACCCTGGAATGCACAGAAGGAGAGGTAGGGTGTGAGTGAAGCGATGGATGTAGCCGGCGCTTAAAAAGCGAATAAAATGGTTGTTGTCTTTCTATCTGAGCTGGCTCCCTGCCTGTTACGTGTGGGGAAACCCGTGTGGGGTTCCTCTCTGTGTAAAGTCTTCAAGCCGTGCCTGCACAAGCCTGACAAATCTGCCTCATTGCCTTTCCCTCGTCAAAATTTTCGGTATCTTTTCCCCCCACCTCCAGGCCTGGCTGAAGGGAAAAACAGGACGTTGAAAGTACTTCCCATCCCAGCTCCACAACAAATGTCCCGCAAAGCACCACACTATGCACACATTCCCATGAACATATTCTTTCTTTGTAAGTAAATACAAGACTCCCATAAATAAGGGCAGTTTCAGACACACACTTTCAATGAAGAAGGCTACCTCACTCATCTACAAGCTGGGTAGTCCGGATGGCTGAACCAACGCATTCAAATAACCAGTCAAAGCCAAGGAGAACCAAATAAACATTAGCTGAGAACGCTCCCTGAAGAGAAACACAAGGGTACTGCAGGCAAACTTTCAGCATCTATCTCCATCCACATTCATAACAAGTTCACTGATGAAAAGCCACTGTTTCTACGATATATCCATTTTTAATAAATCGTTTCCTTCCTCCCCCAGTTCAGGGTCCAGAAACATTCAACCACGCATTCTATACTATGGGGAAACTTCAAATATTTCTATAAAATCAGCCGTTCGTCGGATTTCCACCAGACCACTTTTGTTTTACTTAGGGAAAGGATGGCTACCGAAGGGGGGTGGACTTGGGTTGCACGAAAAGGCAGCCATAATCCTCAGGGCACCATAAGACCACGTTTTCAGCAACCACTCCCACCAGAGATAATCCCTGACACCTTGGCAGATAGGTGTCAGACAGCTAGCCATCCCACGAACAATGACGACAGACCATTTGGGAATGGGCTAGATCCTTGGCCAGGATAAGGAGATGATTCCTTGTCCAGGAAGCCAGGAACTTGTAAATTGTTCTTTTTTTCCTTACTTAATAGGTGTAAGGTGGAGATCACGGAAGGGGGTGGGAGGCTGACCTGATGCTCAGGTTTCAGCTCCAGACCCTCTCAAAATGTGATAAAATTGTGATGTATGCATGATGTAGTTTTAGGGGTGTTGCAGGTAGTTTTGTAGGAACTGATAAAAGTTGGAACGTGCTTTGGTTTGGGGCTTTTTCCTGCTCCTTTGTTGCGTTGGGGGGGGGGGAGTCCTGTTGCAACAGTTTCTTTAAGAAAGATCAAGCCTGCTGGCTGCTGTTTTGCTCCGATATTCCTGGCTGGTGTCTTTGTTTGATAAAGCGAGTCCAAAGATATACTGGAACAACGGAAAGGTAGACAACTTCCTGTTTTGTCCCAAGAGGTATGTAAATTTAACATTGTGTGAGAGATACCCGTCTTTAATGCTGGGTCTTTCTTGCGAACACTCCATAGTACCCCACTTTTCAAACAGAAGCTTTGGTTTTGGGTGTACAGATAGAAAAGCTGCTAGGAAGAGTAAACACAACTAAGAAAACAAACACAGAAGCTAAGATGTAATAATCGGAAAATAACAAAGTGCAAGATGTAATTGGAAAAGAATTTTGGAATCAATGTTTGATAATTTTTTTATTTTTTCTGATGATGACTTATGTTACATAGTTTCTAAAACCAACAAAACATTAAAAAAAAAATTTCCAGAGAAAGTTGGGGGGGGAGTTTAAGTGCTTATATTCACAATGTTAAGTAAATAAACCAGAAAATAACACTTGCAACTGTAAGTTTCTTATTTTTCCTTCTTTTAATAATTTCATTTCGGGGGGGGGGGAGTGACAATAAATTTTCCGTACCGGGTACCACCCGGCCTTGCTACGCCACTGGCTGTATGAGACAACAAATTGGTAGGTTTCTGTTGTGTGTGTGCGCATAGTACCCTAAAGTCAGAATACAAGTACTTTCATTTGCTTTCTAGCAAATGCCCTCTACTGGCTTGAGAGTAACTCCATGAAACCCAATGGGACTGATTTCTGAGTAGACATGCATAGGATTGGGAATTCTCATATGACCATGGTGAAAAAAGTCCCTATAAGGAAACGGGGAACACTTTTGATTCTGGCTCTGCCTATCATCTGAACTCTGGCTGCACCCATCACCAGAATTCAGCCCCTGCTAGGATACCCAGAAGGGAAATTGAAGAAAAGAGGTTGCCTATCTTTGGCGTAAAGATTTGAACAATTCATTGTTTATGCTGTGCTTTGACCACCCACAAACCACAATGCTAAGTGTTGGCCTCAGTGTATTAGATTGTTATAGAAAGGGGGTCGGTCTAGATTATACCCATGCATCCCTTCCAGGCTTACATGAAGCTAGAATGTGTAAAAGAAAACCAGAACCCCCAAAGCAAACCATTTCCTTTGTTAAGGTAATGGCCTTAGATACATACCCATCATCAGCACCTTTAAAAAGTTATCTCTGTTGCCATAGAGACAAATAGTTGGGTCTTTTCCCACTTCACCTGGCTGGCTGCCATGTCATCCAAGAACAGAACAATAGGCCAAACAGGGCTGTGTTTGGGTGAGTTTTGGCTGATCCTGGAAGCTGCACACACAGAGGAATGTCTGCTCTGTGCTGGACCCAAATCTGTGATTTGGGGCTTCCCTGGAAACCCAGTGAGGAAACAAAATCAATGGGATTGCGGATGCTGTGAGCCTCTCCATCCTATCCTCAGGCTGTATTTATGCCCTTATTTAAGATCTACGTAACCCAGTCAGCCAGTGGCAGCTTCCTCCATCTCTCATCCAACCATTACCACCACCAGAATATCTCAGTGCAGCTTACAACTTCCCCCAAACTTGGGTCCTGCAGAAGTTTTGCACCTCAGCTCCCATCAGCCCCAGTGTACAGTGCTGGGGCTGTTGGGAGTTGTAGTCCAAAATTCTGCAGCTCACCAGGTTGGGGAAAGCTACAGAACCGCATAGGACAGCACCACGTAGCACCAAAAAAGCATATCATGTACATAGCTCAGTGAAACAAAAGAAGTGTGCTTATGTTTTAAAATTATTTAATATTTTCTTCATAGAACACCAATTTTTAAAGCAAGCATATTACAGAGGCAGCCAGGAAGCAAAGGCACAGTAGTTACAAGCCGTATCTGCTCAGGGTATTTCAAGGCATGGATCCTGCTGTGGATCTTAAGAGATAAGGATTGCATAGCACCAAAGCGAGTAGGTCCCTACCCCCAGACGCTGGTCTCTCTCTTTTCTGTCCCACACACTGGGCTGAATTTGAGCAGGGTCTCTATACTGGCCCATAGAATCTCCTGTAAGCTTCTTGGAAGCCGATGTGGTCGGCCAGCTCGTCGCAGTCGGGGTTCAGCTCACAAACCTCTCGCAGGGGCTCAAGGGGGTCTGGGGTTGGGGCAGCACGGGCGTTGTAGAACCTGCCAGGGAGCAGAAGCCATGGTTGGAGCATTTAGCAGCCATTTTGGGGCTATATGAAAATGTTCTCAGTATGCCAAAGGATATCCACGTATACAAAACTTTAACTTAGCAAGATACACATTTCTTAATGCAAAAATCCCCATTAAAAATCTTCAACGTTCATTGTAAAATTTCTCCTAATTTTGCCCAGTATACATTTTTGCAAAACATTTGCAAAAACGTAACGTAATGATTATGCACACTTTTACCCTAGTATATGTATTTTGTATACATTACACCACACTCTGGAACTCCCTGCCTATTTTGACTTCAGGCAGGTACCTCCACTGCACTCTCTTCAGTGCCTGCTACAAACATTTTTCTTCGGGCAAGCCTCTCCAGTTAAGTAGAACGTTGACATGTTTTTTAATTTGATTTTTAGCTTACCATAGATTTTACATTGTTTTGAATAGCTGGATTTAACTATTTTTTATTGGTAATTTTATTGTTTTTATTTGTTTGATAAGCTGCTTTGAGGGTTCCCCCCCTTAAAAGCAAGCAGCCTATAAATTCTAATTAATGAAATTAATTCATTAACTAATTGGCTGGAGGACTGCATTGCAAAATTCGAAGAAGTGCACATTTCAAAAGACAGCTGTGTTTCAGAAAGTAGGTCCACTTTTAAGCACAAATGGAAATAAATTCTTCCCCTCCACTAGATGCCAGGGTGGGGGCTGGAGATTTTGCATTAATTGCAAGGTTACACTTTTCCATCAGAGGAGTGAATAGGAACAATTATGTCAGAGAAAGCAAAGAGCTGCAAGGTGAGCAGACACTGTAGGGATAGGAGCTAAATCTACCCCTTGTTCCATTTCCCACCATTTAGTCCTCCCCTCCAATCTGCATAGCCCCACCTCTTCATTTGCATACTCTTCCCAGGGGTTCTGTTTCTCTTGTCACACTGGAATGCACATTAGATGCATCCAGCCAATCCTTGCAGCAGAGAGAGTAACAGCTGCTTTACAGAGCTCTGTGCTGACATTATCTGGGTCCAATGTTATCTGGGTCCAACATTCTCTGTCCAATGTTTGAGACCTCATGGAGGCATCTTCAAAGCCATTAGGGAGCCCACCCCCACCCCAGATTTCTAGCTCATGACAAGTTGCACATTGATCTTTACCTGTTATAGTTCCTCTTGTGTCTCTTCACTACTTGAGCACTGACGCGCCTGGAGACAAAAGCTGCAAGAGGAAAAGTCACATATTTTATCAACAGCGCTGCCTCACCCCTCTACAGGAGGAGTTCTCCCTATTTGCCTCCTCTCTGCTATCAGTAGGGCTTGTGGCTCAGGAGCAAAACCAAGGATCCTGACAGTCTCTGTTTTCATTTTGAAAAGCAACATGTTTCTAACCCTCATGGTGGAGCAGAAAGGGAAAAGAGAGATTTCCATACTTTTAGAAACATAAGAAGCTGCTGTGGCCCATCTAGCTCAGTATTGTCTACACCAGAGCTTTCCAAACTTTTCAAGTTAGGGACACACTTTTTGGATATGCAACATTTCACGACAGAGTAATTCAGTTTTACTAGCAAAATCCAGCCCTGGAAGGAGTGTGGAGAGTGTTTGTGCGACACACTGCAGCCGACACACTAATGTGTTGCGACACACAGTTTGGAAAGCTCTGGTCTACACTGATAAGCAGTGGCTCTCCAGGGCTTTTGATAGCCTCCCCCACCCAGCTCTAGTTGAAGATGTAGGCAATTGAACCTGAGACCTTCTGCATGCAAAACACATCACCGCTCAGCTACAGCTCTCCCACCTTCCCTCTATCCCCCCTCACCCCCCACAAATTTTACAGGTTTGCAAACCTAGGTCACTTCTACAGATATAAGTCTCTTTGAAGCAATTATCTAAAAATAAAAAGCAAGAAAGGAATAAAAGTGGAGATAAACTGACCTTCAGAGCTGGGTGAGTCGTTGGCACTGTTGGAGGGGGCAGAGTCATCTGGAAAAGGAGAAGAAGGGCAACTGCAGTGAGCAAAAGGCTACTTGCCCCTTGGCCAAGTGAGGCATGAGGGAACAGGTGTAATGCCTGTCACCCAAGGGCATGGCTTGGGCTTGAGCACTTCCTAAGTACCTCAGCTTTCAATGTAACAATGTCATGCTTGTGACTGAGATAAGCTTGGTAAGTACAGAGGCAATGCCTGCTGAAACTGCAGCCAAGGGAAGAAACGGTGGGTCAGCTTTGAAGGCAGAAATGAATCTGAAGTGATGTTGGCATCTCTGGTCCTGATGGTTATTCTTTTTGTTTAAAAAGCTGGCACACCCTGGAAACACCCACAATCTTAAAACTGTGATTTCTTGTCTAAATATTTAGCTTTGCTCACATGTAGGTGCATTGAGAAGACTGGACTTCGATGGCACCTGCAACCCCATCTGCGGCCACATAAAGAATCATAACCCAGAGATGGTTTGGCCACTTACCTGCTTGGCAAAGGCAGAGCGTGGCCACTGCCAGGAAGCTCACCAGAATCAACTTGTTCATCTTGATTGATGCTGTTTGCTAGTGGGGAGATGTTCTCTAAAGGTCTGGAGATGCTTGCTTGCTTGCTTCCTCCAGTTGCTTCTTCCAGTGCCCCTCCTGGGTCTCTGCTCCCGATTTATACTGTCCTGGCAGCCCCCAGCCCCCCAGCCCACTTGGCAGGAGGGACAGCCCACAGGACCTCCTCCTTCCTCCTCGCTCCAACCTCAGAAGGGGCAGGAAGCCAGGTCTATTTTGGAGCCCATCTGCTGGGCAGGAAGGCTGCCAAGTCCAAGCAGTAATTGTGGTTTGGGGCAAGGACATCATCTGGAGAAGGCAAGCTCACTGGCCTGCAAAGAAGGGGCAGGGCAGGATGGACACCACAGTCAGACTGGGAAGCCGTGATGCTTTTGCAGCACTGGGAGTTGGGGTGTTTTGGGGACCCAAAGTTCAGGAAGGAAGGCAGCTACTTAGATTTCATGCTGTTGGGTGGCTAAAGGTTTCAAATCAAAGCAGACTGGGGACGCAATATATACTGGTAAGCATATTCAAAACACATTTAAAGCACATGACTCCCCTCCAAATAATCCTGGGAAGTGTAGTTTCCTCCCTCATAGGTACCATTTCCAGCACCTATAATAAACTACAGAACCCAGGATTCTTTGGGGGAAGTCAGCCTGGATAGCTCAGTTGGTTAGAAAGCAGTGCTGATAGCGCCCAGGTTGCAGGTTTGATCCCAGTAAGAGACAGCTGCATATTCCTGAATTGCAGGGAGTTGGACTAGATGATCCTCGGGGTCTTGTCCAACTCTAAAATTCTATGCTTCTGTGTGTTTTACGCTGAATAAGCTTTAATGCAGTGTGTGGATCGAAGATTTGACCTCCTGGTGTGCTGCAGCAGCTCAGGTGCAAGCAGCAAAGCTCCTCTTCAGCTGTTGCTTTGGTCATCAGTTCACATGCTTCCAATTATTATTCCCATAAAAGGTTTTTGGTTAAGAGACAGTGCAATGCATCAGGAAAGTCCCCAGTCTGAATCTTGCCCCTGGTATGAACTCACTAAGAGTTTGTGAATGTAAGTGAAGCCAGCCTCCTGCTTAAGCTGTAGGTTTTACAAGATATGGTTAGAGATATGATTTCACTAAAATTGGGAGAGGTGGGGCTTGTGGGTTTGAGGCCCTCTTCCTCTCTGCAATCTGAGCACTGCACAGAAGGTGGATTTAGACATACCATTCTCACTGTCTCAATCTCTACTTCTTGATCTTTAAGGGCTGTTGCAAGGCAGATATAAGCAAGAGACAATTAGTTTGGGAAGTAAAATGGTGCCGAAGCATTTGGATGTTTCTATTCACGCAAGTTCCTATAATCCGATTCTATTCTTCTTAATTGATATGTACTTTACAAATAACAGGAAGGCCAGGTCCTTGCCCCGGGGCCTTACAATCTAAAACAGACACAAGAAACAACCAACAGAGCAAGGGGAGAATGGAGGCACATAGGTAAGCAGGGGAGGCATATGTGGCTGTTTCAATTGCATGTACTTTAGATTGGCCAAAGGGTTAGGGACCAAGGTGTGGATGATCCAAAGGCTTCCTGGAAAAGGTAAATTTGGAGAAGGGACTTTGAAAGGAAATAAGGGAGGTGGTCACACAAAGATGTTCCAGGAGGGAGTTCCAGGCATAAGAGGCAGTGAGAGGAAATGGGTGGAGTCATTTGAGGGAACAAGGGATTTTCAATGACGGTGGTGACAATAGATGAGGGTCACAGGATGGGACCCCTATGGAAATAAACACAGGGATAGGGAGGCACAGAGGGTTCCAAAGGTTCCAGGAGCAGACACAAAACCAGTGTAAGGAATTAAGGGGTTGGGAGGGCATGGCATCATCAAAGTAACAAGGAGGTGAATAATGTTGGCAGCAGAGCGCTGGGTGGATGTGAGGGAATGAAGGTGACACAACAGGAGGCTGCAGTCATTGCAAACATCCCAGCCAGGCAAAAAAAAGCACTTAAGGAGAGTGTAGAGCAGGAGCAAGTGATGGGCATGGTCTGGGGAGTCTAGGAGGCTGGAAAGAGATACTTGGAGGACCACATTCAATGCCTGCGAAAGATAGTTGGAGGGTCTAGGAGCTGGCTTAGGAGGGCTACCTACATAAAGTCAGGGGGCAATAACAGCAGCTTGCAAGCAGAGCTCAGACCTAGGAAATAGGCGCACAGGCAGTCATCTTTGTTTTCCATGCTATTTTCCATGTAAGGACTGCGCCTCACCCTTAAAGAAATCTGCCGCTGAAGAAAGGAGATCTGGCTCTGGGCCAAGAGCAACTGGCAACAAGGGGCAGAGAAGGAAACAGCCTGTAAGCCTGTAATTTACCCACAAACTGCAGAGATTTGTGGGGTTTTCCTTTCCATGCGGATGTGTTCAGGGCCAAAGAGAAACTCAAAGATTTAATTTGCCCTTGGCTCCTTCTTTTCCCTCATCCGTTCACAGCAGGCCATATTGCTGAGTTCCAAAGCCCCAGGATGGCGTCCAGATCTGGGGAGAGGAAATGGGATGGGGTATTTCGCCCTCACTTGCCCTGGATGCAAATCGCTAGCAGATGCATGGGAAGAGAACCATGCCAAGAAAGCAGGCTCTCTCTCTCTCCAGTGCCACGTTGTACCAGATTAATGTTGTTTTGGAGCTGTGAAAGGCCACCCCTATTCTGCTCCAAAACCAGGCACTGTCACAACACTGGGATGGGGTGAACAGCATGGAATTCTAACCCCTAAAAATAAATAGCTTTTGCATTTATGCAATGTTTCAGAATGCTGAAAACTCAGCGCATCGTACCATAGGAAGGGACATAGCTTAGCAGCAGAAGGTTCCAGGTTCAATTCCTGACATCTCCAGGAGAGAGCCCTGTGGGGAACTCTGGACAGAAGCTGCAATAATGAGCTAGATGCACAAATGGCATGCTTCCTACATTCCATCACAAGCATTTCAAGAGGCCCATAAGATCAGTATTATCCCCAAAATGCAGACGGGATTTCGCCTGTGCATTGAAGCCAAGAGGCAGCAGCTTGTCTTAAGCAGATTTGGCAATAGGCCCCCCATCTCCTCACCCAGAGAGGTAAGAACTGCATTCTGCTTACACCTCAATATTTTACAGCTAGACCTTATGCTTAGAACAGATGCCTGAAATTCTAAATATCAAGCTTCTAAACCAGGCACAGGAGCTTGTGACACCCCCCCAGATGTTGGTGACTACAACTCCTATCATCCCTGACAATTCAGCATGTTGGTTGAGGATGATGGGAGTTGTAGTCCAGCAGCATCATAAGAACTGCAAGTTCCCCATCTGTGTTCTAGTTGTTATGGCTAGAATGGACCCTTGAAATGTGCTTGCTAAAATCTCAGAAGTCAGGGATCACTGGGTATTGTTGCTGGGGGGGGGAGCGATCTGCTGCCGTCCCCCTTCCCCTGACTAGCAAATACAAGTTATAGGAAAAATATATTAAAGTTTGCATAATGTATACGTGTCACAAAATTCACCTATCTTTGGTGCCAAATATGCCTGGCCTGGAGGCAAAATTCTAGCAGTAGTGAGGAGCCAAGAGCCCTGGCTATAGACAAGCCAGCATGAGATGGAATGCCAGCCAGCAGTGAACCGGTTGCCCTGCAGTTTGTTTGCAATGACAAGCCTCCAAGTTTGTGGCATTCTACAGGAAACTTTAAGTTTTCAGCACTCCTCACATCCTACGTGCTGGTTCCTGAGTTCCCAGTTGCTCCCCGGCTCCTGGAACTGCATCTGGAAAAGATGAGGCTGACTCGGGCAGCCAAGACCTCTCCTAGACATCCCACGCTGGCCACAGGGAACGTGGCGCAAGCCAAACAACAAGCACCGCTTGGCATCCCACTCTATATTTACAGTGTAATCAAGGAACCCATGTTTATACAAGAAAAATATGGGTAACTGGGTCGACTTTACATCCAAACACAAACATTGTATCTAATTGGGAGCAGATGCTGACATGTACAATAGAGACACACCCTCCTTCTCTAGCCTCAGGGGACTGGTATTCCATCGCTCCGGGAAACCCTTTCTGTATGGATGCGTTATTGAGAAACCTGATCAGTTCTGCCACGGAAGTCCTGCCTGTTGCAGTGCATTGTGGGTCCTATTTAACACACACGTTCAAATGGGCCTCGCTTTTAGCCCACTGGTAAGCAAAGCATACCCAAAGCATACCCAGCACATTCACATTGCAGGGGGCTGGCAACCAAGAATTTCCCCAGAAGAAAATGGGTGGCGCATAAAGTAGATTTCTACGCACTCTGACTGCTGCTACAACTCAACCTAAGCAAAGCCCAGCTGGATCAGGCTAGAGGTCCATCTTGCCCACCACTCTGAGCGACGGGAAAGACTCAGCTAAGTCACAGCAGAAATACGTTGCACAATTCACTGCAACTCCAGCTTGGGCAGATGGCAATATTTGTGTTAAAGAAATGCAAGGCAGAAATTGTAGCAATGCTTTAATGCAGTTCTAATCTGCTTCAAAAGTTACACATACACAAAGAGTATTTCAGAGGAGAGGTTTGGTTGTACTTGCTTATACATCAGTAACTAACAAATATTTGCTCCCTTCAAACTAAGAAAGGGGAGGTGCTGCTGCTTAGGTCACCCCCCAAACACCCCAATGATTCTGCTGTGAACATGGGCTGTTTTGTGGCACCCTTACCATTGACTCACCAGTGGCTGAGCTTCATGGTGGACAAGACGTAGATGGAGTTTTTGAGAAGTGTTAAGTAGGAACAGAAGCAGGGAAGCAACTTACAGAAAGAAAAGAGAATGACTGAGATGCAATAAAATCTGGGAGAATATTGCAGTGGGAAGTGACCTCCGCCTCAGTTTCCTGATGAGGATTTCAAGGGCTCAAATGAACCTTGACCAAGGGAAAAGGAAGGTTCAAGCAGCTGCAAAAAGAAAAAAGCCCCCCCCCTGCACAGTCCAGGGTGTGGTCATATAGTCCAGGTCCCAGACACACAGCAAAGACTTTTTTAAATAGTCCAGTGGCAGGATTGTGAAAGCAACACTCTGCAAGAATTGGAAACCAATGAGTCTCACACTGCAGTAGACTTGTGGCCTGTTAGTTCCACCTCAGAGCCTATACAAGTCCTGGGCTGGGATCCTAGTCTTCCAAAGCTCCATTCGTGAGGAGCCAGCAAGGCTTTGCTTCCTCGCTAAAGCTCATCAAGGCTGCTCACGATCTGCTGACCTTCTTGAGCAACTGCCTGGAAAGGAAAAAGGAAAAATCATTAAATGCTAGCAAGAACAGTCTTTCAACATACCTCTTTCCCATTTGTATTGCCTCTGTTAGATTGCAAGTCTGCAGGCAAGGGCTGCCTTCTTACTGATCTTATGTAAGCTTCTCAGGGATCCTTTTTGACTCTTTAGTAGGGTAAAAATGCTTCCTTCTAGGTTCTGGGAAGGGTCTGAGGGCAGTTTTGTTGTGGCTTTGGTCCTCCCCAGCGGGGTGATCCTTTAAACGTCCAAAAACCTGAGCTGGTACAAAATGCTGTGACCAGATTCTGCTTTTACAAGCAAACCCACAACAAAATGTTGCAGTGTGTAAGTGTGCTGTCTTCCAGCCAGCCAGCTATGCCCTTTTCCAGGACACGCCACCCATTTCCTCCTCCTCGCCGCAATCAATCTGTTCTCATTATGGTTTCTTTTTCCTTCTGAAAATTTGTAACTTAGCAATATCGTAAGATGTGCAACTTTAAGAACTGGCACCTTTGTATTTTCTGCTCCAAGCTAGCCAGCTGCCTCCATCTTTATGTGTGGATGGTACTATTTTGGTTACAAAAGATCCACATTTGGAGAATGAGTCCTGTATATGGGATTATTCATGAAGACTCCTCTTGCCACAGTGGCCCTACATAGTGTGGGACTGTGATTCTTAAAGGATCATCTCATCTCCCGTCAACCTGCCGCCCATCTCAGGCCTCGCTTTGTCTCCCATTGCCTTTAGTGGTACAATTGGCAGGGACGTGTGATAACGCATTTTTGGTCCGAGAAATCAGGTTGTGGGACTCAACTCTACGACTCCTTTCCTGGAGAAGTCTTGGTTGGCTCCTTCTTTTGCCCATTAAGCCAACTGAGAACAACAAATTCATTCAGCAAGGATTCCACCTGACTGAATGTTTCTCACTAGTGTTTGAAGACAAGTGTGGGGAGGAGGGTACATTTCTCTTCTCCTTCCAGGCTGTTGATGTGCCCCAAGCAAATTATCCCGATGCACAGATGGGCATGCTACCTGCGAGGCTCCACTTACCTGCCACTCTTCCTTGCTCTTTCTGATCTCCTCCTGCAGGTCTGCAATTCTCTTCCGACCAGCCAGCACTGCTTCAGCCAACCGCGAGTTTGCCTCTTCCTTTTCTTTTATGGCCTTTTGTAGGAATCTGCGCTGCTTCAGAAGGTACGGCACAACAGCACTGTGGATGTCTTCCTCTGGGATTCCACTGGGACGCCTGAATTCAATGAAGGCGTTACAAGAGGGGTGGGCAATCTCAGGCCCAGAGGCCAACTGTGCCCCCTCCCTCCTGGGATTCACTGTCTGGTCCTCAAGACCCTCCTCAGGGCACATGCCTCACCAGTCCCACTTGCCATCCCTCTCAAGTGCTGTGAGTAGAACAAGCCTATTGGATGAATGTAAACTTAACATTTGTTCCTTTGCACGTTTGCCTCTGGCCCTGCCCAATGTGGGCATGTGGCCCCTGAATGCTTCGCAGAAGGGGGAGTGGCCCTCGGTCTGCATTAGAGGAACAAGGAATGGGCTTAGAGGCAGGAGATATAGGAAAGCATTGAAGTTACCAGCTTTTAGAATGTGCCTGTAGATATGCAGAAGTACTGGCAAAACACTGGTGCTGCTACGGGTGTAGTCTGTGCCTTATCACAGAAGGGACCGCAGCCTAGTTTTTCATGCAGGAGGTCCCTAGCTGCTCAGTCCCCATCAGTGAAGCAGCTATAAAATTGCTGGCACATTTGCAAAGCTAAGCAGGGTATGGTAAGGTTTTCAATTGGATGGGGGATTGTGTTTAGAGATTCCTGCACTGCATGGGGTTAGGGGAGATGACCTTTTGGGTCACTTCCAACTCTACAATTCCATGACCTCTAGCTGTCATGTGTGAAACGTGTGTAGAGGCCATCTACCAGACCCCAAACAACAAAAGGTTGAAGGCGGAGGGTGTGTGTGTGTGTGTGTGTGTGTGTGTGTGTGTGAAGTTGCCCTCTCCCTCTGCTTCCCAGCTCTATCTAAATGGCTGCTGTGAAAAGAGGCTGCCTGACAGGACAGACCTCAGAGTCAATCCAGCCAGGCAGTTCTTATGCCAAGGGAGTCACTCCTTACCATGCAGGGGTACTCCTTTTCTTTGCTTCTTCCGCAAGTTCATCTAGTGATTTAAAGAGCACACTGAGATTCCCTTCTTCCTTCAGGTCCTGGATCTCCTCCTGCACAAAAAAACCAAGACACACTATCTCTACATATAACCTGAGAATGTACTATTGAGTTTAATTTTCACACCTGTAACATCTGATGCCTCTCTGAGATGTACTGCCGAAGGTCCATGCGTTGGATACACATGCAGGACCCGAATCCAAACTATTTATTCTAGTTGTGGCTGTAGCTTTGAAATAGATTTAATTTAATATTCTTAAAAAATTAGGGACAAATTGCAGCCTTTTAAGTACAGCCAACAAATAATCCCACCTCAAACATTAAAATGCCTTTGACATATCTAAGGCCAAGACTGCAAGAGGTTTGCAATAATCAATAACGTTTAACAACTTTTCACAACAAGGTCTCCCTCCCTGTAGCAGATAATGTGACATGAATATGAACTTCATTACCATTCTCTCACTGGACTTCGCACACACACAGTCATCCTGTTTTCACGGTAATATCAGTTGCTATTTACTATGCTGCAGTCTAGTCACATCACATATGCAGGACTGAACCATCAAGTTGGTGAATGAAGAGTTCAATCCTTCCAGGTTTACTATTTATTTAAAATAAGAAATCTCCGCCCTTTTCTGAAAAACAAGAACTGCAGGCTGCACTGGAACCTATAAGGAAGGGTTTTGTGCTTTTCCTTGGCCCTTACCCGAAAGGAGGTTTGCAGGTGGGCGATAAACTGATTGTAAACACACTTGGTGAGTTCAGGTTGCACTTTGTAAAGACGACTGTAACACTTCGCAAACCTATGGTAGCTATAGGTAGAGAAAGAAAATGCCATTAACATTTTAAAAACCCTGCACATTGTTTCTATTATCTATGCACTAGGATGCATAATCAAGTACTCATTTCTATATATTCTTTCTCTTTTTTGTCCTCTCCTTCCTTTTCTTTTCACTGCTAAAATAGGATTTTAGTCAAGAAAGATACCTAATTTTCTAACATGTAAACTTTTCATTTTCATGTTTATCCAAGCAGGATATAGTTGATGTTGCATGATTCAATATTACAGATTAATATGTTTTAAACATTTACGGTGTTTATATTCGAAACATTTCCATTTTTCTAAATCAAAAACACACACCATATTTGTAATTTTTCATGTTATACTTCTTCCTCACCAGAAAAGAGAATTGGACTGGGTGGCAACTCCAGACTTTTAACAGAAAAAAGTTTGACACAGCAGCATCACCTCTGACCATGGAAGTTCCATTAAAGGAGACCCTCCCCATAGCACTTATCAAGCCCTTAAAAAACTAATCTAAGCTCATGACAACATCGTTTGTGTTGCCATTGTACTCATTTAACACTAACCTTTCTGTTGTACCTCATCCTGTGAACAAAAACATTCCAGGGAGGTGCCCTCTGTGCCTGGTTTTTAAATAAATGCTGAAAACTTTTTTATTCCACCAGGCCTGTGGAGAGTACACCACCCACAATGGGTTACTGGGCTTTGTTTTCAACTGTTTGTGCTTTTATTTCATGCTTTATCTTATTTTTACCGTTGTAAACAGCTTTGAGATATTCTTGTGATATGGCAAGTTTTTTTTGGTTGTTTTTTTACATAAGTCAAAGAGCCCTGGAAGAGACTTTCTGCTCGACTTTGCTTTAGGGCATCCCAGCCTCTTTTCTGCTCAGAGCATCCTTCCGTCTTTCCACAGCCAGGCTCCCTCCAGGCTGACTACAATTCCCATCAGCCCCAGCCAACTAAAGAGTTAGCGAATTCCGCGTAAACAACTCTCGTGGGACCTGCCCCACTAGATCTCGCGAGGCTTCCTCCTCCTCTTAACAGCAAGCCAACTATCGCGAGAATTGCCTCCTCCCGCTCTCGCCAAGCCGCCCTCCCTTACCTGCCCGTTTCCACAATCTTCCGCAAGGAAACGTCGACGATGTAGTCCAGGAGCTGCTCCCGGCTGGGGTTGCCCGGAGGCTCAGCAGCAGCAACAGCAGCGTCGGCGGCCTCCTTCTCCCCGTCAGCGGTACCCACCCCCTCAGCCACCTCTGTCGCCATTTTGGGCCCGCCACAAATCCAAACCCCTCAATAGCCCCGCCCACTGATGCCCACGCTGCTTCCGATTGGTGGAACGAGGCAGTTTTATACGCTCGGCCCCACCCACGTGATTTGTGGTCACCGAAGAGGCGATAGGACCTAAGCTTTTATTTAATTGGACGCGGCTTCCCTGTTTCTCCAATGAAAAGCCTTTAACGTAAAGCGAAGTACAATGCCGCCCTCTACTGGCCAGTTGTATATGGCACCACTGATCGGCGTGTGTAGGGCTGCCTGGCAACTTGACTATACAGTACTGTACGGTATTATTTCTTGCAACCTTGCTAGCACGGTATTATTAATTCTTTAAAAGCACCAATAGTTTTTCTAAGGAATACAGGAGATTAAGGCTAAGATATAGTCAAATAACCTTGAGCGGCCCAAACGGAAAAAAGGAACGGCGAGAGAAAGGGACATGGAGATCATTCAGGTGCCTGTAACTAGAAGTTGTAAAATTGACCTTTCAGTGGCTGGCTGGAATGGCCAGCTAAAAGCAAGCCCTGCCTATGATGACTTTAAAAGTGAAGTGGGGCAATTCATGGGAGGATAAGGCTCTGAATGGCTTGGGTCTACCTTCACTGTTCTAGGCAGTATGCCTTTTGAATACCAGCTGCTAGGAATTGCAGGTGGGGAGGGTGCTATTGCACTCAGGTTCCGTTTATGGGTTTCCCAGATTAAATCTGGTTGGGCACTGTGAGAACAGCACACTGCACAAAACAGCAAACTGACAAAAGGGGGGTATGCGAGAGGGAAATCTCAACATGCAAGTGAATGATGGAGAGCAAGAGCCAGAAATCTTGGATTGGCACCGTGCCTCAGTAAATTCACTGACTCAGCTGCCACAGGACCCCCAAGGAACCTGTACACAGTGCAAAAGGTTAGGGAGTGTGCACACACAGGAAGCTGGAGAGGTTTGTCTGACCTTATCACCACCCCCTATAAACGGCAGTTATGCTAAAAAATACCTCATGTTCATTTCCAGCTGCTCTAGTAGGGAAAGATCACTAAAAAGCAGAGCAAACTGTCTTGTGGTGAATTCTGCTCATCCACAGGCCATCTTTTCAGTGCCCAAGAATTTTCCAAATCCCCAGGATTGCCTAGAAGCAGTTGGAAAGCCATTGTTTTAAAGCTGGAACAGGGAACATATGTCTGTCAAGATATTATTGGATGTCATCGCCAACCACCCTTGACCATAGGCCATGCTGGCCAAGGTTGATCAGTGTTGTCAGTTCAACAACATCTGGAGGGCCAAATACTGCCCACTCCTGATTTTGGAGCATTTCATCCCTGTTGAGCATAAAAGGTCATTTGTTTCCACATCATAAGCAAAAGAAGATTCACCAGGAAAAGGGTCAAATAAATAATAAAAACTTTAATTACACTTCAAAGACTTATTACAGTGCAAAATTGAAACCTGTTTTAATGTACACAAATACATTCAAACTCCATATTGAAACAGCAGGCACAGATATCGGAGATCGCTTGGAATTTTTTCCCATTTAGAGAAGACATGGACAGGCAAATCCTCACTTCTTGTGGCTGTCAAAGATTTCCTGTTGGCCCTACGCACCCCATGCTCAGATCATGTTTGCATCTGTTTTAAAGGTAGTCACTACAGCTTCCTCAGATCCGTTCAACGGAGCTCCCTACAGATTCTCTGTGTACTAAAGACTGGAAACAAAAATAATTAATTCAGAGTATCATTGCACTTTAAAAAACAAAGTCAAGATAAAGAATGGAATGAGATTTCAGCCCAAAGTGGTTATTTGTACTTGAGATATGCATAGGACCTCACCAGGAAAAACACATGCCACAAACCGCTCATCATTTAACCAGCACGAGGGATCGGCTACTCTATATACAATCCACTGATAAGGCTCCAAGCATTTTCATAAGGGTTGGTCGTATAGCAGATGAACTGACACAAGTAACATACCACTGCAAAACCATCACAGCAGCTTTTCGAAGGGGTAGGGCATTAAACCATCCAACTCCCCTGAGATTATAATAATCTTCCTTTGCCACTTTAGCTTAGAAGTAGGAGAGGCTAATGTTTTTTGAGACCCTCCAGGAGGCTGCAAAAAGTAGTGGGTGTGGCACCCCACACTATAGCACACACACTTGCATGCAAGCATGCAGGACATTGTGCCTACTTTGTTTTATTCTTTTGCCACCAAAGGGGAAGACAATTTTACCTGGTGGAGTACATCAGGCCCCTGGATCAAGGGTTAGCCACCCCTTCCGCAGAAAAAGCTAATCCACCACACCATCTAGGTGCTCTTAACACATCACCATGTAAACAACCTCCCATCAAAGACAATTGCAAAATGCAATGGAGGTTTATTGTGAAACTTAAAAATACAGAAAAGTGTACAAATTAAGAGAAAGAAATAAGTTTTGACTGCTGCTCTTACCAAGGGAAGGGGAGTAAAAAATGCCTCCCACTTGGCAAAAATCAAATTCAGCACAATTCCCGGCATGTTGGGGGGTATTCTGCAAAGTCAACACTACTCCTAGGCAGCCCAAATGTGGGCCTGGTTCTGCTCCCTGTGCATTTGCCAACTATGAAATAACCGTGCAGTATGAGGACTCCAAGGCCGCCTAATTTTATTTGCTTTATTAACTCCCCCCCTGGGGGGGATCCTTCAGTCCTCCAACAGGTCACCAGTGGAACCAACAGAAGTCTATGCCACACTCAAAGGCCTAGTTCTAAGAGGCTGAGTGGGAAACCTTATCTGGGCTGTACCATTTCAGATTCAGGACTGGTCCTAAATTTAAAAGGGGGGGGGGAGTGACCACCCATTAAGAAGGAAGCTCAACAAGCAAAATGGCTTTCTATGGACAGGGTTTTGTGAGGTTTAAATATGGGGGGAAAGTCATGTGAGCCTCCACCTGCACTACTACACCCCAGGCACATGTCTTACCGCCTCACTAAGAACTAAACCAAGTATATGGGGTACAAAACCTTATGGTGAAAGGTCTAAGACTTTGTCTAATTACAGCTGATTTTGGCCAACTTTGGGATATTTCACCCCTCTTACTTTCCTGCCCTTAAGTGGAAGTGGGTTGTTTGTCTAGTTCTAACCCCTGCCCTATCCCTTTTCTGGGACAGCACACCTCCCTGCCTCAGCCTGGGGTGCATTTAGGTTCAGGGGAGCAGGAAAGGCATCAGAAGAGGTTTGGGGAGGGACACACCGGCCCACATATTCTGCTTCCAGGGCCCACAACATGCCAAATATTTCCACAGTACAGTGTTTATAGGGTTTACTTAAAGAACCCTATAGAAACTTACAGGGTTTACTTATTTGCAGAGTACGAGGTCCACCCATAGCCCCTTTCTTGGTTCCTGATTATGGCACTAGAGTAAATTCTCATCCAAGTTAATATATATTTATATATTAAAAAAAACATTGCTTACTTTAGAGAAAAGGTCCAAAGTGCAGAGAATATCACCTCCCCTGTATTGCTTCCAAAGATGCCCACCCCTGTAATCCATTTTAAAACAAGTGAATTTACTTCCAACATGGTATTACCACCTCTACTCCCCAAACGGCAGCCTTGCACAGACTTACATGGCTACAAAAGCACTGTGGACACAGGGGAGCAAGGTAAAAAAAAAATAACATGCAGAATCAGCACCAGTCACAATAGAAAAAATAGTGACAGAAACAAGATGGGAGGACAAAATGGAAAGACGCCCATCACTGGAAAGGGGGTTGCCCTGCTTCTCCTACTAGTCCAACAGCTGAAAGCTCTTAGATCGGAAACAGGAACGCAAAGCAACTTCAACCAAGGTGGAGCCAGGCCTGCAAAGGGCTGCAGTCTCAACAGGCTGCCCTGCCCAGACAAAAGGAGAAGCTTTCCACTCTTGCCCTCTGCAAAAACAGGTGTAGAGCTCCTTCCCAGTTACTACACTTTCATGAAACACTCATTCAGTGATTGGGACATACTTGTACAAAGATCAAAAAGGAAGTATTATACAACTCTTTTCAGCAAGATAATTATGTTCTGCCTTTCAGAAGAATCCTAAAAGGGGGGGGGGGAGCAGATTTCATTGTGCTTAAAAGGAAAGGGGAAACAATTTTAGGATAGGAATCGTCTTTCTTTTTTTAACACTCACATTTGCAAAGGCCACAGAATAAAGGGTGCGTCCTCCCCAGAGAGGACTTTAATCCCAGAAGATGCATGCACGTACCAAAAGTACAACTGTGCACCTCTACTGCTGCAGACTCTCAAAAGGAACTCCTTGCTTTTGGTATATCTCCCCGTTTTCAAATCTTAAATCTGTAGACGTTTTGGAGGGGTGTCTGAGGGGATTTTTAATTTTTTTTTTACTAATAACTTCTTTCCAGGAGGTGTGTACTGTTGCTGCTGCAAGTGGCAGTTTCTGCAGCTCATGGGTGGCGGCGGCAAATCGCACAAAGTCTTCCAAGGTAGGAATTTGGCAAAACGAAGAATAAAAACGCATTTTCAGAAGATCGTGTTGTTTTGCTTCATTCGTTTAGTTGTGGTGTGTTTCCTTTTAATTCAAGAAGGAAAAAAGAAGAGGCGCCGGGGTTCCTTCACATACGAGCAAGGAGTTTTTACAGTAGGTGCTTTCTTTTACAGAATGCTGCAATCAATCCAAAGGGGTAGACAAATACTGGGGAAGGGGACTTTTTATATACTGTCCTTTGCATTTAATCCTTCACTAACAAATACTTGTTAGAAAGCTCTCCGGGCTCACTTTTTGGTGGCTTTTCAACCATGCCAATGGTCCAAGAGATTACAACCAAGTCCGACTCCCCCTTCCCCAGTTTCGCTACCAGTGCCTTGAGTCCACCAACTCTGGACGGAGGCTCAGTTTCTTCAGAGTCTCGTAGCCCACCACGATGACAATGGTGGAAGGGGTGGCGGAGATGATGCGGGCCGAGAGGCCTTTCATCAGGCCCCAGGGCCCTTCCTCTGCTACCAGCTGCTTGAAAGTGAGAACAATGGAGCTCTTGCC